AATATATCAATTAATTTGCATAATTATGCTTGTAATACAGGCCAACATTTTATAATATTTACAAGAAAAAATCAACAGAAGGTTATCAATCAATTCCATACGTGGTTGCACTATTTAGTGCAATGCTTTGGATTTACTATGCATTTCTCAAGACCAACACCACACTTCTCGTCACTATTAACACTTTTGGATGCTTCATTGAAACTTTATACGTTGGCTTCTACCTTTTCTATGCACCAAAGAAAGCCAGGGTGAGCTTTTTGATATACTAGTACTTTCAAAATATATCAGATCAGTTGAAAGATAATTACATGTAACTGTTCGAAATTCAATTTTTGACTTTTGCTAATGTAGGTCCAAACTATAAAACTACTTCTTTTATTAGTAGTTGGTGGTTTTGGAGCTATTATCCTCATCACTCAATTTCTATTCAAAGGAGCAATCCGTGCCCAAATTGTTGGATGGATTTGCCTTGTGTTTTCCTTGTGTGTTTTTGTAGCACCATTATGCATAGTGGTAAGTTTATACATACATATTATTGAATTTAATTTGTTGTACAAATTTTTCACACTATCAAATCACTTAACAGATAATTATACATAGCTCTACGTCTACCATAAGTAGAATTGGTTATCTACAAAATAAATTAGCAAACTTAAATTACATGAATAATATAAAAGATATTTATATTTATACAATCAATAAATGAAAATGATGTTGAATTTTCTTATTTAATGCAGAGACAAGTAATCAAAACAAAGAGTGTGGAATACATGCCGTTTCTCCTCTCTGTTTTCCTCACTTTAAGTGCTGTTATGTGGTTTTTTTATGGTCTTCTATTAAAAGACTTCAACATTGCGGTAAGTTCAATTGATACTTTCATTTCCTATTGATAACACACATTCTCTTTCCGTTTTAATTTATTAGTCTTATCATCTTTATATTCTCTTTCTAAAAAAAATAAAAAAATTGACAACTTTTTAATCATAATCGTTCATATGACATGTTTAAAAACATAAGATTAAATGATACATCACTCATCTTAAATTAAAACAAAAATATATTTTTTTAAGCTCTAGAACTAATATTATATATATATTTTTTCTTTCTTATTTTTTGGTTGAATAGATTCCAAATGTGTTGGGATTTATCTTTGGTATTCTCCAAATGATACTCTATGTGATGTACAACAAGAAAGAGAAAGTTGTTATAAAGGAGCAGAATCTTCCAGAACTAAAAGACCATGTTATAATCATAGAGGATGACAAGAAGAAGCTTCCAGAACTAAGTGAAGAGCAAATTATTAACATAATTAAACTTGGTTCACTTGTTTATTCAGACAAAAATTATGGAAATTTAACTGAGGTTGCTAAAAATGACAAGGCTATTTCCAAGCTGCAAACTTTGGAAGCTTGACACTTTGTAAATTTGTTTGGTAATTTGTAAATTTGCAAGCATGTTTATATTAAGCCAAATAAAAGGATTATTGGCTTATTTTGATTTGATTTCTATTGTATTTACATAATTAGTGCTTAATTATCAACTGTAAATTTTGTTTGCCCATTAATATTTCAAGCTCTAATTGTGATCACTTTCTGATGATCTCCGCTTTCTTACCTATATAGTTAGACTTTTCTATCACCATACTAATTTATTATAATGCAAAATTTTATTTGATATCAACTTTTATATTAAGTTACATCACAGATTTCTCAACAATAATACTTTATATAAAACAAAAAAGTTCGCTATAAGCTATAGCGGGTAAAATATATCAAAAAAACCAACATTGTTATAAAGATATTTTATTATTTATTGAGAATAAACATGTATGTTTATTGAAATGAATAAAAATGCGAATCAAAATATTAATCAAAAGGATATTTTTAGATCAAACCGTTTTAAATGACCATTTTATTTATTTCACATAATTTAAGAATATTTTTTTATCTTTAAAACCGTATAATTACCATTCACCAAAAAGGCTAGCATATATTTAAATGTTTTTTCCTTTCATAATAGTGTATTTCGTATTGAACTTATATTTACATATATTTAACAATTTTGATTCATTTAATTGAAGAAAATTGAACGATAAAAGATTAAAGTAACAAGTATATATTAACCCTAATTAGGATCACAATGAATAGTTTGAGACTTTTAGCCTGTTTTTAAAAGTGAACGGCGTCTAATCAAACTTTTAATGAAAAAGATGTGAGTTTGCCTAGTAGCCGAAGCTATTTTTGATAAGTTGAAAAACTCCAATTAATATTGACAAAAATAACTTTCAAATTAAATACCCAAATATAAACAACTTTTCTCTTAATGTACCTTTTTAAAAATAATACTTCTTATAAAAAAATAATAATTTTCAAAATAGAAGTTTTTGCTCAAATAAACTAGTGAACCGACGGAAAGGTACCAAATATACCTGCTCCGCTGCTCGGACAAACATGGTACAGTGTCTTTATCAGAGGTGGTATAGTAGCATTGCAATTATTCTATTAGTATGAGTCACGTTATCTGAATGTAACAGTATAATAATACTTTATGAATCTTGTCTTCTCCGATCCATTTTCCACCAAATTCTTATTTTATTAAACACACTTGACATGTATATGAGGAAATTAATGGCTAAGATTCATATGATTAAATCAAAAGTCTAATCATAATTTAAATAATTAATATTTCATATTAATTAGGTTAATCTTTGATTCAAATTTCCTGTGGTTCTTTCTCTTTAAAATTAGCTATCGTAGAGAATTATATGACAAACAATTTAGCTTTTAAATTTCTCCTTTTTTTTTGTAAAAAAAAAAGAAGATAAATACTGCTTAGGGAAAAAAATAGGAAGAGAAAGAAAAGTTAATAATATTTTCATGATGAACAACATATTATATTGATATAATTGTGGCATTATTAATTATAGTATTAATTACCTAAATCTTAATTTAATGAATTGAATCATAGTCATTACTTTTATATATTCCAGGTGTCTAAGAAATTGTGAAAAATGGAGAGGAGCCAAATGCCAAAATCCATATTTTACTATCATAAGACTTCAAATTTGAGCCTTTGGTAGAAAAATATTTTAATTTTTCCTCTTTGCATGCAATTTAAAATGAGTAAAAAGAATATAATTGCAACTTGAATAAAGCTAAAATCACCAATTATGACAGCCTTTTTAAATTCAAACTTTATTTGATGCAGTATGTAAAAAGAAAATTAGAGAAACCTAAATAATAGAATGCTAATATTTTTTACAAAAAAAAAAAGAATGAGAGGATGAAAATTTATGTATACATATTTTGTGATTGGAGATTAAGGGTACAATTGTATGTATGCGCCACGTCCTTGTTTCAATCATGATTTGGAAAGTATATATAAAGTTGGACGGAAGATAAATATTGTCCAGAAGAATTGAAGGAAAAGCTAGAAAGTTTATTCAGGATTTTTTTAGTATAATAAAATAAAGCCGATAACATTGAGTATAGATAGATCTTAAGAAAATTATAAGATAGATACAATAATCGAATAAAGTATTTTTAAAAAGTATATTATATATTGGGTATTTTTTTTTCTCTATTGCGTGGAAATCATCTCCCCATCATCCTCATATGAATTAGGGTTGCTCCATGTTTTGAATCTAGCACTAAAAATAAATATTAATCATTTGATCGTGAAGGTCGACTCTCAGATATTACTAAAGCATTAAATTGATACACTCACCTGTTTATTAGCCGAACATGGAAGGAAGACTATGGATCCAAATATGCCTATGAACAAGTTGTTTGTTTTTTAAGTATCTCCTTCTTTTACACTAAAAGCTCTTGAAGAAGATGTAAATGAAACTATATCGTTTTGATCAGTTTCTCATTTTATGGATGAACCTATTATTTAATTAATAAAATCCTTTCAATTCCAAAGCAAAAAAAAAATTTATTATCATATAAAAATTTACAGCTCAAAAAATAAAATACAAAAAGACTACTCTAAATCGAACACAACTAATAATCATCTATCTCCTAACCAATTATCAACTATTTTAACTTCGGATAGCCGTTCAACATCGTGAAGTATTGAACTAGAGGCAAGAATCAGAATTATAACCCCAGCCACGGTGTATTATTGATGCCACATGGCAAACATTGATTGGTCACTGATCTCCATCACTATATGATCCATTCTTTTTGCTGAGTAAAAGCACAATTCGTACAGCAAATAAAAGGGGAATCTTACGTACAGTTTAGTGTGTGTTCACTATAAAAAAAAAAGATTTTCAAATTTTTAACAATTCTTTTTTACTTATAAAAAGGGGCTTCATAAAATAAGTGAAATGACTTCTATAACAAAAATAGAAAAAAAAAATAAGCTCATTAGTTTAATTATGTCTTCCTTATCCTCTAATATATCTTATTATCCCTCTGCTCTCTAAAACCCTCGTCTTCATCGATCCAGACTAACTCGTCTTTCATGATATTTATTTAAATTATATTTAAATATTTTTAAGATAATATTTTCAACGAACATTATCCACCATTTTGAAGACCCCCTTGTGCATGAATTATAAGCTTAGTGCGGCCTCTATGGATTGGTAGATGACATAACAAAAGTTCCATATGGGGCCTGTTCCTTTTAAGATATGAAACCCTGCCACTTACACCCCTAAAAAGAAAAGTTGGCTATAGACAAGGTTGAAAGGTCCTTTATTTTTTTTTTATTAAAAAAATAATAAAGTGAAGTAATTCTCATAATTAAGTTTGAAATTAAATTTATATTTTATTTGATTGAAGATATTATTAATCTTAAAAAAAATTTATACCTTAAATTAAATAAAGTATAAAAATCCTAACATCTTCTATATATGAGATGGAATAAATTAATTTAAAAATTATATTTTTGAGATAATTTAATTCGCGAATCAAACGACAATACGATAAAAAGAGGATCTCCACTAATAGCACACACTTTCCTACTCTAGCTATATATAACATGTACTTATCAAGCCACCTTCATTCATTGTCAAATAGAACTACCAATTTATTGAAATTATATTATCAGGTAATACAGCAAGCCAAGGCATTTTTTCTTTAGAAAAAAAAAATAATGGCTGATTTTTCTGTCCACTGGGTTTTTGCATTTGGGGTGCTAGGTAAAAAAAATCATTTTTATTTTTTTTAATGTTTTCTTCCTATTATTCATTAATAACGTCACAAATAATGATTGTTTTACCTTCTTTTGTTCTATTTTGCAGGAAACATAATCTCCTTTTTCGTTTTCCTTTCTCCACTGTATGTCTCTTGATCCTTATGTTCCTATTCTTCTTTCTAATGTACGTATTCTGCGTAACAACTTGCGCGATCGATCTATTAATTAATAATTTAATATCATATACTTTTATATGTCTTGCAGGCCAACATTTTATAAGATGTACAAAAAGAAATCAACAGAAGGCTATCAATCAATTCCATATATTGTTGCTTTATTCAGTGCAATGCTTTGGATTTACTATGCATTTCTCAAGACCAACACTACACTTCTCATCACTATTAACACTTTTGGATGCTTTGTCGAAATTATGTATATTGGCTTTTACCTTTTCTATGCATCAAAGGAAGCCAGGGTAAGCTTTTCGATTTGTACAATAAAAACGTAAACGAAGTACTTTAAAATATCAGATCAACTAAAAAATAACTTAATTTTTTGACTTCGCTAGCGTAATTAATTAATGCAGGTCCAAACTGTAAAGTTACTTCTTTTATTAGTGGTTGGTGGCTTTGGAGCTATTGTCCTAGTGAGCCAATTTTTATTCGAAGGAGCAGTTCGTGTACAAGTGGTTGGGTGTATTTGCCTTATTTGTTCCTTGTGTGTTTTTGTAGCACCTTTATGCATAGTGGTAAGTTTACACATATACATATTGTTGAAACATTTTAACTTATTATATAGAATTTTTACACTATCATATCAGCAAAAAAATCTACACGTGTTACAACATGTTAAATAATATTGATATCATTAAAAAAAAATCTGTACTATAAATACATAAAAATGATGTTGAATTTCTTATTTAATGCAGAGACAAGTAATCAAAACAAAAAGTGTGGAATATATGCCATTTCTCCTCTCTGTTTTCCTCACTTTAAGTGCTGTTATGTGGTTCTTTTATGGTATTCTATTAGAAGACTTCAACATTGCGGTAAGTTTTCTTGTTTTTTTTTAACTTCATTGATTTCTCAGATAGTCACTCAACTAATAGTATTATTAAAAAATAGAAATTTTCTGAGAATAATAACTATATGTTGAGTGACTAAATATGAACTCTGTTCACGACTTTTATATGTAATTTATTGAAATATGATACTAATATTTTCCCTTGCTCTCTCTCTCTTTCTAAATTAATAGATTCCAAATGTATTGGGGTTCATATTTGGTATTCTTCAAATGGTGCTCTATGTGATGTACTACAACAAGAAAGAGGAAGAGTTTGTAAAGGAGAAGAATCTTCCAGACCTAAAAAACCATGTGATAATCTTACACAATGATAAGAAGTTTCCAGAACTAAGTGAAGAGCAAATTATTGAAATTGTGAAACTTGGTTCACTGATTTCATGTACACAAAAGTTTGATTTGGACTTATGTCTGCATGAAAATATAGCTGAAGATCATAAAAAGCTGCGGAAAACACTCGAAATATGAGAGTATACTATATATAGTAAATTGTTTGATAATTGGGCATATCAATTGAACATATAAATTTAAATTATATACACTGACGTGTACATGTACACAAACTACTGTATTTATGATGATGATTCTTTAAGTACCAAATGTAATTATTTTTCTCCGATAATTCAAGCTTTGTAGTTCGATCAGCTCCTAATCTTGTATCACCTCTAATTTTACTAAATTAGAAGCATACCAATTATGGAGAACTTATTAAATCCAACATTAACTAGCTTAAGAGCTGTAAAAAAAGGGTTGGCCCTTGAGAGTTATTTGTTCTAGTTGCTATTTTTATTTTCTACTACAATAACTTTTTTTTAGATATAAATTTATATTTTTACATCATAATTGATTATTTTTTTCGTAGATAGAAAGACTTGAATCCATTTTTTTAAAAATATATAAGTGATTAGTCATTACCAAGAGTAGTTATATAAAATAGGGAAAAGGGTCAAATATGTCCCTAAACTATTCGAAAAGTTTAGATATATCCTCCGTTTAAAGTTTGGTCCATTTATACCCTCGTCGTTCAACTTTTGGTCTACATATGCCCTTACGGCTGTTAGTTGGCCAACTCGAAATATCCAACTCATTTTACTTTTTCTTGAATGCCAAATGGATTTTCCACGTCATTTTTATGTATTATCACTTGACATTTATAATAAAGGGAAAATGGTCAAATATGCCCCTAAACTATTCGAAAGGTCTAGATATACTCCCGTTTAAAGTTTGGTCCATTTATACCCTCGCGTCCAACTTTTGGTCTACATATGCCCTTATGGGTGTTAGTTGATCAACTCAAAATATCCAACTCATTTTACTTTTCTTTAAATGTCAAATGGATTTTCCACATCATTTATATATATTATCACTTGACATTTATATACAGTAACGTATATCAACTTAATGCTGTTAGTTTTTAAAAAATAAAATATACCCTAAAACGTTACCGTGAAATACGTTTATATTAGATTTGTAAAATTTTAGAAAAATATATTACTTCAGTAAATTATTTTATATAATGGCTTAGTTTGGTTAAAAATTCATTAATTCATTCATAAGAAATTTCGTCAAAATAATTTTAATTTTTTTTAAATACATATAAAGTCATAACAATGGAAACAAATAATAATAGAGAAATGTTAATTACTAAATTAATTGTCAAAATTTTCACCTAATTCTTTGGATCAATATATTAATCAATCAATAGTATAGATAAATAAAAATTTATTTCGACTTAAAGCTGTAAACTTAATATTACATGCTTATTTGGAGCCGTCACGATTTAAAAAATGGTCTACTGAGTATATATTATTATGAGTTACAAAAGTTATTAAAGTAACAATATGCTTCCATGTGTGGCCTTCATGTGATCATCAGTTATTTTCATATGTTTTAGAATTTAAGTTCTCCACGCAATTTTATTTGTATGATGTAACAAACAAATCACAAATATATAGCTGTATAATATATATAGTAACTTTTTAGAAACGCGCTAAGGTCCTTTTTCCAATAATAATGTTTTTCTTCATCTTTTTTCATGAAATAATCATAATCAAACAAATACTATTCAATTAGCATACAACGTATCAATATTAAAGCACGAAAGCTTTTCAAAGTGGTACCAATATATATATATATATATATATATATATATATATATATTGTAAATATTCACTGTCTATTTATATCATCGAGCAACGTATTTGCTTTTCATGATATGGTTGTTAAATAAGCGAATCTCTAAACTGATAAAAATGATTAATAAATTAATAAAAGCAAGTTAAATATACGAGAAAGTATATACTATCTTATATAAAAAAAAATGCATATTTTATGTAGATTATATATCAATATAAAAAATATAAATTTCCCAAATAATATTTTATAAGTGAACGACTATTTAGGTCTGTTATTTTCATTAATAGGTATTTATAAGCCACTCAAAGATTGATTCACTTAAATAAGTTGAATCAAGATAACTTAAACAATGAGTCATAGCCCAATCGACCCACTTCGACTATCAAGTAATTTTTGTTATTATTATTATGACTACATATAATAATATCAAACATAAAAATACTGTGACACCTTCTCATTAACTAATTATTTGGACTATATGTTAATCTATATTAATCAACTTTTAAATGAACTGAATCAAATGTATCAAAATAATTTGAGTTAATAAATATACGAAACATATATGTTTTCTTGGCTAATTTTCCCACCCCTTAATTCCATGATAGCGATGCATTATATTCAACTTGTTCAATAAAAGGAAAAAAGAGAAATGTGGTACAAAACATGTTTTGAACGTTCAATCATTGGAACAAGCATAATGCATAATTTATGGAAACAACAGTATCCACAAATACCTAAAAGGCTAAAGAAATTAATATTATCCAATGATTAAAAAAGTGAAGACTCAAAAGAAGCATTTCTACTATTTTGTGCTGCCATCTGTATTGTATAGAGAAAAAAAAGTCTCTATTTAGCTGCCATCTGTATAATTTAGTTTAAATTCTGATATTATACTCCTCCTTATATTAACTGTCTACTTTCTAATTAATAGTTTTTTTTTAAAAAAAAATACAATGAGTTTTTAAAGTTATAAAAAAAAAGTAATTGTTTTAAAGAATATATAAAGAAAGAAATTAAGTGAACAATTAATAAGCAAGTAATTGAAATGTAAAATAGCAAAGTAGGCAAACAATTAATCTCCTGATCATTAATACTTAATAGCTTTATCGAGCCAAACAATTAGTGAGTTGGGCAACTATAATCATTGAAGCCTAATCATAAATAACATTGCAATTTTATTATATTAAATTTTGAATATATACGATCTCTTAAGAAATGTAATAGAGAAATAACTGTTATTAATGATAAAAGTAAATTAAAAACTAAGTATAAATCCATTGATTTCATAAATTACATAAGTATTATTAGACATTCAAAATAATATAATGGACTATTATTATTACACGGAGCTAGAGAATATTACTTGGTATGTATTTTCACATTTGTATAAATTTAAGTCAAACTAATTTAAGAAACATTGAAATTTATGTAATTTGATGCACCCATGTTTTAATTTATACGACACATTTTATAATTTGAGCGTGAAATAATTTAAGTTTGATTTTTAATTTTTTAAAATAAAATTTATATATATATAAACTACGTAAAAAGTACTATGAGTCATAATAATTGATAATTCAAAATACTTAAAAAATTATAAAAAATATATAATTATAATAAATTTATTTTACTCTTAAAATCCGAAAAATAACAATTTATAAAAAGTAATAGTAATAGAGAATATATGACATAACGCACCCACATCGACAAGATAAGCCAAATAAAGCAACGCAATGCGAAGCATATCATCCTTGTGATGTTTCGTTAGGCCATTTTTAGAAAATTGATCACAGCAATATAGCAAAAAAGAGTGGGACCCACTCTATTATTATTGCCAAATGGCAAGCAATTATTGGTTCCAATATCATTTCTCGATTGTTATTTTGGTGATTTGAAACTCATGCTGAACAGAAATAAGCACTCTGGTCATGATATTTTTTCGGACTTCTTTCACTTTATTAGAAAATTAATATTTGGTATGAATATTTCAAATATAAGAACTTATTTTTATATATATATTTTTAAAAAAAAATTATTTCTGTAAAATAATTATATTCAAATTCTATACATCTATATCAAAAATATAAGTAAATACAATTTTAACATCAATTTGAATTATATAAAAAAAAATTAATTTTATGATTACACGCCCACTAAAAAAATCTGAGATCGCTCCGATATTAAAGAACCTTGGTGCCCATACGATTGGAGGATGACATAATGAAAGTGTACCTTGGGACCCATTAATTTTAGGATATTATCATTTTATTCCTCGAACAATAACAAATTTGAGTTTGAGCAACTTTAATGTATATACATCGATATTGTAACAGAACTATAAAAAATCACGTCACATAAAAATGGAGTAAATATAAGCAAGTTAAAGTTAGATGAGTAATCATTTGAATCAATTTTACATAGGTATGGGGATATTTATTAGTTATTTTTTTTTAGTTGATGTATATAAATTATATTATACAAAATATATATTTACGTGCAATCATACACATATGAGATATTTGTCAACAATATTTTAGTACAGTAATCGACTACTTCAATTAGTTCTTCATAAACAATTATTTGATATACTTAATATATATTAAAATTTATACATAAATAATGTACTCCCTCAATTTATTTTTATTAGTGCAGTATATCATTTTGAAGCGTTTAACAATACTTGTCAAATTTATAAACTCAATGAATAATTTATCATATTATTTTATTTTTCTTACACTTGTTATTATATAATATTCATTTTTCAATGTTTGGATGACTTATATTTAATAAAACTGATTTAATAAAATTAATTCTATTATTTACTGTTTTTAATTCCCGTATAAAGTCAATAATGAATAACTCTATTATTTTCGCCGCGTCATTGCTACGTAATCTCCAACATATGCATCGATATTATAACAGAATTATAAACAATCACGTCACATAAAAATGGAGTAAATATAAGCAAGTTAAAGTAAGATGAGTATCATTTGGATCAATTTTACATAGGTATCGGGATGATTTATTAGTTACTTTTTCTAATTAATATATATAAATTATACTATACAAAATATATATTATACGCAATCATATACATGTGATATATTTGGCAACAATATTTTAGTACTATTGGATAATCGACTACTTCAATTAATCCTTCATAAATAATTATTTGATATACTTAATATATATTAAAATTTATACATAAATAATGTACTCCCTCAATTTATTTTTCTTAGTGCAGTATATCATTTTGAAATGTTTAACAATATTAGTTAAATTTATAAACTCAATGAATAATTTATCATATGTTCTATTTTTTTTTACACTTGCTATTACATACTATTCATTTTTCAATATTTGGATGACTTATATTTATAAGAGTGATTTAATAAAATAATTCTATTATTTACTATTTTTAATTTTCGTATAAAGTCAATAATGAATGATTATTATTATATAGGAAAAGTAATGTTAGTGTATCTAACTTGATTTCCCAATTGCAAGG